TGACACACACGTCTGACAAACAGATGCCATGCAACACTTCAGATGCAATGTAGTATCTTTTATATATCATGACTGCAGATCTGCTTATTTCATTCAGGAAGTATAGAAGTAACATAAACGTAAAATTGGGCATGATTTTGTTCATTGGCATGTATACACATAATTGATTCAATGTGTCTCCATGCGACTCAAAGTGTCGCTTCCTTGATGTCACAGGACCAATCCATTTTAACCTCTTAAAACTTCTAAAAAAGTTACATTTTGGAGCACTCAAAATGGCTGCACCAGATACTGCCCTGTTGTTCCATGCAGACATTTACAAATATAAATAATGTTCACATACAGGGATCGTCGCACAGTATCATTATATATATATGTACATACATACATGCAAGAGATAGCATCAGCATGAAAAATGTATTTAACAGCACATTTGCCCGCCTTTTAACTTTGTAGAAAACAAGAAACTTTATCTCGCACTGTAACCCTCTAGCTGTGTGGCGCTATCTATGAATGTTTATTATGTACGCAGTATCGGCACTGTTAACTATCTTTTATTAGGCGCTACCAACGATTGTAAAAAAAAAAAAAGCTAGTGCCATCCCTGTAATTTTTATTGACCAGTTAACATACAACCGTCTTTATCTCACAGAAAGTTGTTTTAGTTTTAGCACAGTTAAAAAAATTTGGTTATTTTTACGATGCTCTCCCCATTTGCACACCACTAGTTGTAGGTCAACTCCAATATTAAGTTGGTTGGACTAGTCTACCTAGGTCGAGGTTATGGGTGTCGCAGTATGTTGTTGTCTGGTATTTATGTTTTTATTTCCGAGAAAAAGACGGCCTGTGACATAGGTTATGTCACCCTCTAGTGGAATTGTATGTTAGACCCAGTATCTAAATGTTTTAGAAGTGTTAAAAGCTTTGGCATTGCGAAATATACAACACTCGGTATGAGCGCGAGTGCTGAATATCCCCGTGACCTTGTGTGAAAGTCGGATCGCTGGAGACCAACCTATCAGAGGTGAGGTGGTGAGCGGGTCGTCCAATCAAAAGCGAGCAAGTGTGCAAACGGGGAGACCAGCGTAAAAGTAACCCAAAATTGTTACACAGTCAACTACAACAACAACAAAAAAACCTGAACAAGTAACAGTACAGGACCTTTTCTTGCGGCATTGACGCATCAAACATACTATGTTCGCTCCATATTTTTTTTTTTTTAACCAGGCGCCACTTGATTGCTGACGTGGTCAACAACTCCTGACTTTTTGTCACAGAACGTTTACTAGTACCCGGGGCTTTCCTTCTTATAAAAAGTGCCATTACTCACCATAAAGAGTCTAAAAACGGGTGCTAGTACTCCCATAGTGTCCATCACAGAAGCATTGAAACATATATTGCCTGAAAAAAAAGTACGGGTACTGAGTACTGTTGCGTACAGCTAAAAAAAAAAAGCCCCACCGGCACCCATCTAAGGCTGATACCACCACCTGGATGCCCAGGACAGTTATAAGGAACTATCTTGTAGGGATTCACCCCAATACCTTTGGGCCATAAGGCCAGCGACCAGCCATTAACTAAGACGGTTTTCAAATCAACATATAACGCATTGTTTGTACACTTGACTAGACGCCACTCATCTATGATCATTCTACTGAAAGCAGAATTGATTGTAACAATAAAAGAAACATTGTAGTGTAATGTCACACACTGTTTTAGTCATCTGTAATTATAAGTGTATTATATTGGGAACAGTCGTCCAAATTGTAAGTGTAATGTGATACGTATTTGTAACACAGTCTTCCATATTGGGAGGGTAATGTGCTAATCATTGGTAGCAATAATCCATTTTGTGAGTATAATATGATACGTACTGGTAACAGACATCCATATTATGAGTGTAGTGCTACATATATTGGTACCGTCATCCATATTGTGAGTGTAATGTGATACATTTATAACAGTCATCCGTATTACGAGTGTAATGTGATTATATATATATATATATATATATATATATATATATATATATATATATATATATATGTATATATATATATATATGTATATATATATATATATATATATATATATATATATATATATATATATATATATATATATATATATATACATATATAAAAACCGTCCTTCATATTGTGGGTATAATGTAATATATATTATCATAGTCATACGTACTGTGAATGTGATGTGATATATATTTATATATGTATATGTGTGTGTATATATATATATATATATATATATATATATATATATATATATATATATATGTGTGTGTGTGTGTGTGTGTGTGTGTGTGTACACACATACACATATATATACGTAACCGTCCTTCATTTTGTGAGTGTAATGTGCCACACACACACACACACACACATACACACACACACACACACAAGCGGTTTAGTCAGTATCACGCCGGCTAGTTTACTTTATACACTGGGTTCATAATGTTAATTTTTGCCTCAAATTGTTTAGCCCCAGAAGGTCATATTTAGAGCTTGAATTAGGCAATAACGAGTCTGGTGCCTGAATGAGGCAATAACGAGTCTGGTGCCTGAGTGAGGTAATAACGAATCTGGTGCCTGAATGAGGCAATAACGAGTCTGGTGCCTGAATGAGGCAATAACGAGTCTGGTGCCTGAATAAGGCAATAACGAGTCTGGTGCCTGAATGAGGCAATGACGAGTCTGGTGCCTGAAGGAGGCAATGACGAGTCTGGTGCCTAAATGAGGCAATAACGAGTCTGGTGACTGAATGAGGCAATAACGAGTCTGGTGACTGAATGAGGCAATAACGAGTCTGGTGACTGAATGAGGCAATAACGAGTCTGGTGACTGAATGAGGCAATAACTAGTCTTTTGCCTGAATGAGGCAATGACGAGTCTGGTGCCTGAATGAGGCAGTAACGAGTCTGGTGCCTGAATGAAGCAATGGCGAGTCTGGTGCCTGAATGAGGCAATAACAAGTCTGGTGCCTGAATGAGGCAAAGACGAGTGTGGTGCCTGAATGAGGCAATAACGAGTCTGGTGCCTGAATGAGGCAAAAACGAATCTGGTGCCTGAATGAGGCAATAACGAGTCTGGTGCCTGAATGAGGCAAAAACGAGTCTGGTGCCTGAAGGAGGCTATAACAACAGCAATAAAGTCATAGGTATACTACATCCCCAGCAGCTAAATACACAATCCATGTAAGAGTCTTGTGTGTTGTTTGGTGTTTTACTGTGTCCTGTCTAAACATAAAATGTATAAGGATAATAATATTTACAACGGTGCATCTGAGTAAATGCGGTCACAAATGATACTTGTGTTTTTTTTTTTTTTTTTGAAATAAAGCGTTTTGGGGAGCCCTATATGTGGCTTTCTGTCCGGCTGGCTTTGGTGCTAACCACTAGGCCATCACAGGGTCATACTGACTCTAAGAATTTAGCAACGTTTCTATCAGCACCATGTTTCTACTTTTACAGTAAATCGTGGGAGAAACATTTTGTGATTTACTGCTTTATGCGTAGCACTGATTATTGGTATTCTTCTTCTTCTTCTTCATGTTCGTCCGAGTGATGGAAGTGCGTTTTGACCGTTTACAGCATAGCCGTGAGATTTTCGCCTTTCGGCGGACACATCTGACTTCATCGAATATTTGTTGACCGAGTTACCTTCCCGGAGTAATTCTTATTCAATATGCAACAATATTTCTGTGTTCCCCAGGTATGTTTGCCCCATTTTAAACGATCAGGGTTTTTATAAACAGAGACTGCATTCAAAACACTATACAGACATTGGGTAACACAAAAGATCTAATATCGAATGTTTCTATAACAGTAGTTGTTACTGTTCTCAAAAAAAAAAAAAAAAAAAACCGAAAATATATATACAACATTCTGTCTCTGCAAAGTATAATGAAGGCAGTATCAAAGATGATTATTTTTTACTTTGGCCTTCACTCGTCGATAGCAGTCCTAAAAACGGTTGCTGGAATGGCTAGTCTTGTCATTCCATCGCCGCCACTAGTACGTTACATAGTTATAATTTATGTGACTGTAACTTTATATATATATATATATATATATATATATATATATATATATATATATATATATATATATATATATATATACACACACACACACACTCACACACACACACACACACACACACTTAGAGAAAAATGTTTTTATCTTCGGCACAGCCATGTTGCAGAACTAAATTTTCGAATCTAGTGTGGTTTTTGTTTCACCGCCAGGATATGCCTCAAAACAAAAGGAACAATTCACAAGGGTACTAGTGTTTTCTTCCTAGAAACCAGACACTTGGTTACACGTCATACCGGCATATACAGACGAGTCAGCAAAGGACGTCGTGCAGTGCAGTTTTTGTGCTAGCGTCCACTGTGGTTTCAAGAGCGCATAGGAGAAGGAATTAGCCCTTGAACTTTACAGAAACAGTACGTTCAGCGAATCAGATCACACAGATGTACTGTACACGAAAATATTCAACCCTTCTGCTATTTAATAAGCACATCAAACAGAGGTGCCCACCAAGCTGGACCGAGTAATAGTGATTAGTGATTAGAAATGATTATCGTCACACCCATAGGTGCTCCGATCTTCTCCTCAACAGCTCCACAAGTGTAAAACGACTGATAACGCCTGTTCTGTGTTTGATAATAAAATGTCTTGTCCCCGTTAGTAAAATGTTCATTGTGTGCAGCTCCAGGCTGCACCCCCATGTCCATCAGTCTAGACAGGGATACGGAGTCATGTAACGAGTTACATAAACGACAATAAGTCCACAGTGGAACAATTGTGTACAGAGATTAGTTCACGGTACAACAGTGTTAAGACAGCTGTAGAGAATTGTGTGTTCTTGTCTTGTGACGTACACATGGATTCTGGTTCATCTGTATGTTCACCTGGGTATAACAATTGTGTGTCCTTGTCGTATGAGGTATACTTAGGCTTTGATTCACCTGTATGTTCACCTGGGTATAACAATTGTGTCTTTCAGAGAGAAGGCGTCACGTCTTCCGGTCAGCAGTCCGCATGAAAAGTTCTGTAATGCATCGTGGGCCTCTGATTGAAATAACAGGGGAAAAAATGTGTAACAGTAAATTATGAGCTTCACTGCTTCTTTAATTATTAGTGTCTTAGCAAAACATATAAAGTAAAGTTAAGATCCTTTTTTACGCCTTTAGGCGCATCGGGCATTTGGGAAAAGTACCTATTTTTTTTTAAAGACCAATGGGCACTAGGTGGGAAATGTGGTCAGAATTACACCGGCCGTCTTTAATTCCCCAGGACATACATCCTGGTACCCATTTTAAGTTGGGTCGACCTGCGACGCCCCATACCATAATAATAAATACATGCAGCCAGCAGTGGGTTTCGATCATCGTACGTTGGATTTACGAGTTGTACTCACAACGCCTTAGCCACGGACGCCGCTTAGCATAACATATACTCTTATAGTTTTAACTTGATCGCATGACAATAGGAAAGTTAGAGGGGAAGAAATGCAGAGGGAAACCGAGAGATAAAATGTTTGGAAAGAAAGAGCATCCTTTTCATAAATAATTAACAATGCCAGAGGCAGGTATGACCGAAACACATAACTGTGGGCAGACTTGTATTCCATTATCCCATCCCATTCAAAAATTATACAGCAAAATCGAACCATTAGTGAACAAATCCACATAGGAGGAATAACAACAAACAAGGAGACAAGTTAATATATAGAGTAATATACAAGATAATGTATAAATAGAACTGCTATTCCAGATGCAACGGAACAATCTCCGGGGATAACGAGGTTGGGAAATACAAAAATGGGTGTGTATACTTTACAAAACAATTACTTTCGAGCACTGATATATGTGCATTTGTATTAAAAGGTATGGTAAATTTATGGAACAATTGAGATAGTCGTTGAGAATGTTTAACTAAGTTTCAACATAGTAATACCTTTCAGTTTCTGCTGCAGTGAAAACCGAATCTTTCGCTCTTGTTCTAGTTCACTCGTTAAAGTTTCTGCAAAATAACATATAACAATTTTTAAAATTTTCAGCCTTAGATGCAGCTAATATAGGATTTGAACAGCCATAGTAGTATTAGTAGTAGTAGTAGTAGCAGATTCAGCAGCAACAGCAGTAATTGTTAAGTGACAGGAATAGTAGTAGTAGTAGTAGTAGTAGTAGTAGTAGTAGTAGTAGTAGTAGTAGTAGTAGTAGTAGTAGTAGTAGTAGTAGTAGTAGTAGTAGTAGTAGTAGTAGTAGTAGTAGTAGTAGTAGTAGTAGTAGTAGTAGTAGTAGTAGTAGTAGTAGTAGTAGTAGTAGTAGTAGTAGTAGTAGTAGTAGTTATACTAGTAGTTGTGGTGGCGGTGGTAGTAGTTGTAGCGGCAGTAGTAGCAGTTTGATGATAGTGATAATAACAGACATAATGCTAGCAGCAGTAAGGATTTACAGTAATTGTTACAGTACAAACTCGCACAAATCGATTCGCGCGCACAAATGCACACACACACACACACACACACACACATACATACACACACACACACACACACACACTCCACACACACTCTCTCATTATAAAACCATCTAGACTTTAGTATATTTCTCTCTTTCTTAATTTTTTTTTTTTAACCATTATACCTGGAATTTCTTTTATGAATTATGGAGACGGCTGCCGCAATGGTATAGCGACTAGACGTTTGCCAGCGGATCCGAAAGTCATTAGTTCAAATCTGCATGTTGCGGGACATTTTTCAAACATGACAGCGGCTCCCAGGTGGACCCAGCCTCAAATGGCTACCAAGTCAAGTCCTGGGAAGTTAGAGTCGCTGGCTAGACAACGACCACATCACCCACTGGTTTTACAATATATGAGTCTGTCCCCATATGCCTGATGTGCCTCTGGCGTGTAAAGAGATCTTTACTTACTTACTTTAATTATGAGGAGAAACTTTTTTACTGAAACATTAAGTGCTCTCGCTTGACCACCACTGATTTGTCTGAGGGTGTCACTGACAAGAAAACAGTTCCACTTCCACGAATATTTTTTGCTTCTGCCAGACGGTGGCCGATGCATTTTTGCTCCATTTGTAGGCTGGATATAGTTTCGTCACCCAGCTTCTGAGTTGAATGCATGACGTGACACTGTGAGCTGCTGATTATATTTGGAATGTTTTTTCGACTGTCACCAACATGGTGTTGTGAATTGTAGATTCAGAAAATGGCGCGATGCCTGTCGTGCAATGTTGGTGGTGCCCGTATGTGATTAAAATTGATCGCGTGGGCAACTGCTGATCTGTTGGCGACTTCTGCTACCATCAATGATGTACTGCATCTCTAATGACGGACTGTTTGTGTTAGCACTTCGGATGGCTACTTTATGCTTTAATGCAAGTGTATGCTAGATATGCTGAGACAGCAGTCTGTCAATCTTTCCACATGGGACTGTGATAAATATTCTGTGTGTTTTTCATTGGCACAGGAGCGAAGCAAAGATGGGGTGACCCGTTTGCTATGAAGCTGAAACTAAGACTACCACACTACCAGACTCAGCTAACATGAAAGATAGTGAAAAAGAGAAAACGAGGAAATTGGAACAGAGCGCGTGTTGGAATTCCTCGAGCACTGTAATGTCAGTTCTTGACTTAACTCAAATCATTTGTTCTTAGTATACATTCGTATCGCTGCTGGCGTCTTTCTGTACAGAACAGTGCACTCGTCAGGGCACAATTAAAATGCTCTATTTCTCTAGCCAAATCTCCAGCCCTATGTGCTTTCAAAGCCAATGCCTCGTCAATGTCTTGTATCCACATTCGTTTAGGTTTGCCTCGGCGTCTTTTACGGAAACAGTACCCTCAATGGCCGTTCTATTCAAGCTGTCGTAACGTTTTACATGGCCAAAATACCTTGGCTTTCTGGACATAATGCTGTTAAGGCTTTCAGGAGAACTGGCAGCTCATAGATCAGTCAAGATGTTGGTGTTTTCTTTAATCTTGGTCCATGGATTTTGAAGAATTTTTCTGGAACGTTTCAGTTGAAAGAAAAAACAAATCCGTATAGTTACTTTGTTTGGTTTGATTTGTTTGTTAATAATCCGAGTCGTTAAATAAAGTCCAGTAGCTTAAACATTTGCCACAGTGTGTGGATGCTAACATTTTTTGTTTTTTTTTTTGTTTGGGTCTAACCTTCAGGGTTACCAAATACCCTCGTGCCATGTTGCTTTCAGTGATCAGCCGATGCTAGTCAACAAGACTGTATTTGGCAAATATTGATCAGAGTTAGAAAAGTCTAATCTGTTTACTCAACATTGTAATGCTATTTATTTAAAAAAAAAAAAAAAAAGATTCGAACCTCGTAACATTTCTAGCTGCTGAGCCATGTGTTCCCTGAATGACTTCTCCCTGTTTACTTCCTCTCGGAATGTTTCTGTGTGAGAATAGAAAAAAAAAGTATGGGTTAATTATTCCGATGATCCAGATTTACACAGCTGAACACAGAAATCGTTGCATTTTGTTTTAACAAACAAGAAATGCTATAGCTGACAAGTAACTTGTCCTACAGCTAAAAAATACTATAGTGTAGGTAGGGTAAACAATAGAATATGTCGAGCTGGGAAATCAACAAGCATAAAGAATCATTCCATTAGATTTATTCCAAGCTTATTTATATTTGCTTCTCATTAATTAAATGTTCGTAGAGTTTTTGCACGCAATATAATTAATGTAAATCACGTGAGACACACGCTCCACGTAATGTATGTAATATGTTTCAACTCTCATCGATATTTCTTGTTTTGGGACTTCTGGAAAATGTATTCGTGAGTTTTTTTTTTTTTTTAACTAATCAACGATTTGTATACTTTTGTTCTGGAATGGGTCACAAATTGGTCGATGCCCTGAAGTTCTTCATCGTATAGCATCCCAGAGTTGAGTCAAATAAAAGTAAGTAAAGGACACATTAAACAAGAGTGGCTTTTTTTTTTTTTTTTTTTTTAATTTTTTTATGATGCCAGACTCAATTTGGTCGCACAGCGTCTTCTTTGAAATCTCGTTTTCCACCTGCCCTTTTCTCCCTCGCTTCATTCTGTCCTAAAATCGGAGCAGTCTTGTAACTACTACTGCTGCTACTTCCTACTACTACTTTTATTACTACTACTCTTACTACTACGACACCTACTACTACTGCTGCTACTACTACTGCTGCTACTACTGCTGCTACTACTGCTGCTACTACTGCTACTAATACTACTACTGCTGCTGCTACAGCTGCTTCTTCTTCTTCTTCTTCCTCTTCTTCTTCTTTTTCTTCTTCTTCTTCTTCTTCTTCCACTTCTTCTTCTTTTTCTTTTACTTTTTCTACTTCTTCTTTGTTACTGGCTGTAAGCTCCGGCAGAAAGTCCTGGCTGTTTGTCCATTAGGACTCTGCCTTTGTGCCAGGACCTCAGTTTTGCGTGTACATCCATTTTTCTGGCTTGTGTGTGTGCAGTTGGATGTTCCTTGTAGCTCGGGCAAATGTACTCCTGGATTCAACGGAGGTGCCCAATTAGTCGACTTCCACGACATGCTTGGTGGAGTCTATTTTGGTTTTTCCCCAAATGGGACCTGGACCAACACAGGAAAATCTTGTAACCAGACAAAGTCCGGGGAGCTTGTTTTGTTTTCCGCGCCCCCAAGTGGCAGATCCAGTGATATCCATAAAGGTATGCTTTGAGGTTACCTTGGCTTCCAGATCGACCCAGCCTTGAGCGGGTACGAGGTACGGTCCTGGAAAGTAAAGACGGCTGGCGTGATGCTGACCACATCACCCACCAAGTGCCGGTTGGTCTAAAAATGTAGGGTTAGCCCTATATACCCAATACGCCTGAAAGGCGTGGAAAGGGGACCTTTATACTTTGAGGTTACAGAGTCCTATTCTGAGCCCGCAATACAGGTATACATCTTTTTGCGAAACTTATTTTCTTCTTCTTCTC